ATGGGATGTTCCTGCTGCTTCCAGCCCCATCCATCCGTTGCTACTGTTGCTCTTCATCTGCAGCTGCTTCCAGCTGTCAGGTTTTTGGGGGTGATGAGAGGGAGAATGGTGCGGAATGGTTGCAGACAAGTGGGTCGTTGGCCCATATTTGTGGAAATCCCATAATCCTGACTGGAAACCTCAAAGCCAGGTTTCTTCTGTTGCCCTCCCAAATGGACACTGAACAGATTGACCACAAGAGGCGGGTGGGTTTTTGGTGCTTATTCTCTTTCCTCTGGGAGCAATGGGAGCAGTCCTAGAAATTAAGCAATGAGAAATTAAGCAGTGAGAAATGAGCAGAGACAACCAGCTACCTATCTGAATTTTTGAGGATAGTCCCTTGAATTTCTCCTACTCTCACTTGTTTTTAACAGGTGTCATAGATGTGGTCATTTCTGCCTAAAACCTTGTAGGTGAGGCTATATCACCTCAGATTCATCTATTTTCTGATATTGGGGAGGAGGACGCTATCCTTTTTCAGGGACAACGGACTGGTCTGCTATAGAAATGGTTTAGGAAATGATTTGTGAGATTGTAGATAGGAAAAAGGTCACTCTGAGAGAAATAAGATGGGAATGTGTGGGAATGTCCTGTGTCCTCCAAGGAGTCCAGACTAACAAGGTTCAGCTATGAATTCACCTTCCCAGTGAGGTCACCAGAGCATGTTCTGGGCTGCCCAGGAACTGCTCCTTCCCATATTTCCTCTATGCCCCTGCTGGAGCTTCTAGAGTCCTAGCATTGCAACCTTGAGAAAGGGTGGCAGGGGATGATGGGAGAGTCTCAGCCCTAGTCCCCCTCTGCCAAGGTTGTGCCTGAGGGAGATGTGGTCCAGCATTGCAAGTTGGAACTTGGAATAAATTTTCACATAACAATAATGTTACAAAGGATAGTCAGTTTCTTTTATACTTTATAATTCAGCTAATTATAGATTGAACAGGCCTTTATAGGATCTCTTAGGAATACAATATTATTTTTGTAGGGAATGTGCCAAGTTCCAAATAGCCAACTTGTAGACCCATGGAGCAAAACCCATTGGTAAATTGGGGACTGTCTTTGTTACGTTCTCTTTCATGGCCTGGCTTGTACCTGTGATAAGCTGGGAACTGATGCATTCTTTTGGTGTTAGAAGGTGCTGCTCCAAAGCAGAGACAGGCCTCTGCCCGGGGTGGGGGGGGTTGGCAGACTCCTCTTCTCATCCAGGGACTCCCTTCTCCATACTCCTTTCCTCCTGGCTGGGGTGCTCGAGCGGTCAGCCATGTGGCGGAACTATTCACACACCCCTGCTTGGGAACCTCCTAAGTCCAGGGTGTTGTGTTTTCAGTTTTTTGTGGGCCCCAAGGAGGTCAGAACTGCTGTTGCTCTGTATTAAAAAGTCCAACTAACGCAGATCCATTTGAAATACAAGCATTGGCTCTGCCAGCTGAGTAGCTAGCAAGGTTACCAGCAGAGGAAGTTTGCTTGTCTTGGGGTGGATAGGATTGGGGGTGGGAGTGGAGATGGGCTAATAAGAGGAGGATTCAGCTGGAAGAGAGAAGGCCTTTCATCAGTTCCTAGTTCAGAAAGCCACTGATACATCTATGACCGGTCAGTCCCCAAACGATTATAGCCAAATTCCTTCATCTATGGAATTGGTATAGCAATCCCAGCCCTCTCACTTTCTTTTGAGAGGGAGCCCAAAGGAATCAGTTAGATTTTAGAAAACACCGGCCCTAAGAAACAATAGACTCAGTCAGCTATAATAGGAGTTGGGGACAGGGGTTCATGAAGGCCACATTATTTTTTAAACTTGGAAGGCAGGTGCTCATTTCTAAATTTAGAGACTCAGCTGCACTTTCATTAAAGAAAGTCCTTCAGTCAGAATTGGACAATACAAGTGGGAAATAGTGATTTTTTTTTGCCCAATTCTAAATTTTTATTAATTTATTTTGATTTATCAACAATCACTTCAATAAGCTTTTGATTCTTAAATTTTTCTCCCCCTCCCTCTCCATCTCCCTTCTTAAGACAGTGCACAATCTGATATAGGCTATACATATACATTCCTATTAAACATATTTTCACTTTAGTGATGTAAGAATTAGAACCTATAGGAGGAACCACCAGAAAGAGGAAACAAAACATAACAGAAGAAAAAAAAATAGCAAATAGTATGCTTCGATCTGCATTCAAATTCCATAGTTCTTTCTTTGGATGTGGATAGCATTTTCCATCACGAGGCCTTTGGAGATGTCTCAGATCCTTGCATTACTGAGGAAATAGTGTTGTTGTTTTTTTTTAACAGACTGTAACTTAAACATCCAAATGGGTGTTGTCACCTTCACGATGGTTTGCTTGGGAAGCTGTATTTTGTGCAGCCATGGCTCATAACCCTGGTAGCGCTTCTCTTAGAATTGTCTTCACAATCCGAGCCATGTTTTTCTGGAAATCCTCAGTGGTAGCAAGCATTTGTCTTTTGAGGGTAGATTTACTTGATGATGTTGGCAACTTGGTCAGAAGTTTTTTGGGGCCCTCTGTAGGAAATGAGAATAAGCAGGCTGAAGAATCCCAGAATTGGCTGAAAAGCAAGGTGTTCTCTATAAAGGGATGGGACTACCTTAGGTGGTTCATAAGGCAAGTCCCAAAGAAGAGCTGAGCTTCAGTTGGTCCCCTTTTCTAGGGCTCTAAAGGGAAAAAAAGATAATTACGAGGTGGAGGCAACCTGAGAGTTTTGAGGCCTTCAAGGTAAAGATTTCCTCTGGCAAAGGACAGGGCTGGAATTCCAGTTAAGGTTAGGTTCCTGCTTCCTTATTGGAATGAAGCCTATAGAGCTTTCAAATTTGGTAGCTCCTGAGAATTTGGCAAATGACAGGTCTTACTGTGGTAGGGATGGTGAAGAGGTGGGCAAAAACCACTTTCCATAACTGGGACTCTACGATTTTATCATGGGGGTAGAAGGCCCCATGAAAATCAGCATTAGGATAATGAGGCTGTGAGAAGGAGCATCTGGTTGGGTGGAAAGTAGAGGCCAGGCTTTGAGGTAGTTACCAGCCCTGGAGATCTGATTCCTGCAGTTGCTGGGGGCTTAGACTACATGGATTTCTCTGGTCCCAGCTCTGAGAGCCAAAAATGTTTTCAGCAATGCTTGTACCTTTGCAGTCTTTGTAGAGCCCCCAAAGAAGGCTATTTTGGGGAATCCTTATTTGGATGGATGAGTTCTGTCAAACCTGTCTCATTCATAATCACATTTCACATTTACATAACTGTAACTAAGACATTTCTAGGATGCCAAAACATAGTGTGTTGATGTCAAATCCCACAGTAACATTGAGAGTCAGGTATTTGGGAACATTTCCCCGATTTCTAGAGCTTGGGATGAAAACCACACATGTATGTGGTCCCAGAATACATAGATAATGGACTCTTGCTACATTTTGTCCGTTCGTGTTATAACTTTCAAAGAAGCCAAAGAGGTATAATCTTGAAACTGTGTTTTTTAAAAGGGGGAAAATTTTGAGTAGCAATATTCCAAACTGGTTTCATGTCCTTGAGATTTAGCATTTTTTAATGCTATGAACACAGTCTTCCTAGCACTAACATTAGTGGCAGGCTCATGAGTCACTCAACCACTTCTGGACCGACCATGTTCTTTCTGCCTCTCCTGTCTACATAGCAACAAGAAACAAACACCAAGTAAGACCAAAAGCCCAGCTGGAATGATTGTGTGGTGGAGGAGGGAGCAGGGCTTTAAAACAACTGGCTTTTCACACCTTTCCAAGTGGTTGAGGTTGCCAATGTTCTTTTCCCAACCTAACCCTCCCATGTAAATAAAGGAAATTCTTCTTAAAGGACAGACTATTATTGTTCCCTTAAAGTTTTCTAATGTGGTAGAGGATGGGATGGAGAATCTTGAAGGAAAGCAAAAATCTTGAAGTTCATTTCTCCGATTTGTGAGCCCATACACAGCTCACTTAAGTCATGGTGAAAAAGAAAGGTTTATTAAGGATTAGGTGCAGCATGATGGAACACACTGGCTTGTTCCCTGAGAGCAAAGGGAATGTTTGGTGAATGAGTTGTTCCCGGTGCTGGGGGCCAAGCTAAGCTATGCCCCATGTGGTGGCTGGGAAGAAGATGTAGGAGGTGACCCAAAACCAAGTGGTGGAAAGGAGTCATAGAGAATGAACACCAGAACACCAGGATAGCACCTGAAAGAGAAAACCCATGCCTAGAGGGAATAATACCTGTGTGGCAACCATTCCTAGAGCCCACTCACCCCCCCCCCCAGCTTTTTCATTTTAATTTCCTAAAATGTTCAAGATTATTAGGGATTGAATTATGATTATAGCTGCACTCTCTTTCCATGAAATCCCAGCAAACCTGGAGGGAAAGAGAGGAGGCAGGAGTGGCTATGACAGCCAGCACTGAGATCCACGAGTAGACGATGATCTCCTCTGGCTGGTGACCAAGTCTGCTCCACTACTTAGGAGCCTAAAGAAGATTGAGTAAGGTCAGTCTTATGATGGTAAGCTTAGACCTTTATCACACTTCTGACTAGAGGAAGTTTGACATGCTCACTGTCTAGTCCATAATGCATGGGAAAGGCAAATGGGGCTATTGGCAGCACAGTCAGGAGGGTGATCCCGATGGGGGTAACAGGGTTTTGGGGTAAGGAAGGTGCCTTCTCACCCCTGGGCACACAGAAGGAGCCAGCAGTAAGATGATGGTGTGATTGCTGATGCCAGCATATGAGAGGTGAAATAGGACAGAGTGGCGGGGAAGGACAGGATTAGACCCACAGAAGAACCATCCCAGTACAGTGATAATACCGAGAAGGTAGATTGGCCTGGTTCTACTGCCTAATTCAGTGAGATATGAGTACTAATCACTCCGGGCCCAGAATGGATTATTCAAAGCCTCACAGAACAACTGTTTTCATTTTTATTAAACCCCAGATTTCTACTCACCTAGGATAAAATTCACCTTCTTCAAAAACTGGGACTCAAGATTTTGTTCTGGGGGTAGAAGCATTGGTCCAGCCTGAAGCCTATCATCAGGATGGCCAGGCTGCAAAGAAGGAGCTTGTTGCCTTTGGATAAGGGGAAGGTGCAGGCCAGCAAGAAGAAAGCATGGGGGCAGAGTCATCCCTGGCACATGAAGGGGATCCCTGTGAAGGATGTGATGCTCTTAGTACTTAGAATTCCTTTAAATGAGGGGACCTACCCAAAAGCATGCTTTTCTCTCCCCTGAAACCAGGGCCCCCCCCAGGACATCAGCCTTTTGAGGGCAAAGTCTCAGGAGCTGTAAAACTTGCATATCAGACAGGGGGGAAGTTGCCTATACTATCAAAAGGGCACGTGCTTTGAGTGGTGTTTGTAGCAATGGGGATGGCCTTGCTCTAACCCATCCTTTTCCTGGCTGGCCAGGATTAGGGGGCCTGCCAGAAAAGCAGAACTGACAGTGGCCCTGGCCTGGGAATTAACAGCTCCATGCCATCATAAACCAAGCCAGTTGGCTGGATGCTGAAGTTGGGCAGCACTACAGTCCCTGGGGAAACTCAGAGATGGGGTTATACGCAAGAGTGAACATGTACAGCTAGCTTCTTTCCTTGGACAGTCACCATGAGAGCCCTTTGCCTTCTCCACAGAGCTCCACAGCAGACGAATGAGACACCTGACTACAGACATGTCCCCCAATGAAGGCCCAGGTAGAAATCCTTAGGTAGCCACGCATCCCTGTAAAGCCTAAAGGGTGCTGGGAAACCCTGCCTGCCTCCAAAGCTCCTGTCTGCTTTTTGTGGACACCTGAAGTTCTGACATAACTCGAGGTGTTTTATTTAAGTGTCCTGTGTCCCTATGTAAGTGTCCCAGGAAGCATAACACATTAGTGTTAGCTGCTATTAGCATCAGTAACATGAATTGGTTTGTCCAGAGTCTGTGGAATCCTCCATCTAGACCCAGGGTTCTTCCCTTCTTCTGTGTCATGCCCCCCCAGGCCACCATCTGGTGAAGTCAAGGACCCCTTTTCAAAATAAGGTAAAGTACATAGGATTATAAAGGAAACCAATTATATTAAAATACAGTAATCAAAATATTTTTTAAAACAAGTTCACAGGGGCAGCTAGGTAGCAGATAGAGCTCTGACCTTAGAGTTAGGAGGACCTGAGTTCAAATCCAACCTCAGGCACTTGACACTTAATAGCTGTGTGACCTGGGCAAGTCATTTAACCTCAGTTGCCTCACCAAAAAAAAAAAAAGTTCACAGACCCCAGCTTAAGAATCCCTGATCTAGGGACACCTTCAGTCTCTAGGAAGTCACATCGCAATGAGTTATAGCTCCCTCCAGCCTGGGAAGTGTTTATAATGTCTATATATAAGTATAGCTAGGTAGTGTGGTGGATAGAGTGCCAGGCCTAGAGTCAGGAAGACTCATCTTCCTGGTTCAAATCTGAATTTAGACACTTACTAGCTGTATGACCTTGGGCAAGTCCCTTAACCTCAGTTTGCCTCAGTTTCCTTATCTGTAAAATAAACTGGAAAAAGAAATGGCAAACCACTCCAGTATCTTTGCCAAGAAAACAATGGGTTCACAAAGAGTCAGACGCAATTGGAACAAATGAACAACAACGTAAGTATCTGAAGCCTACACCTAAAGCAACATTATGCCATCAGCCTTGACCTCTGAGCAATATCAAACCCCATATTCTGCCTGCATCTTAGTTTCAAACATGTGAACCTAACTCTCTTTGTCAAGCAGTTACAGTTCCAAATCCCACTCCTGTCCCTTTTCTCCTGCCAACCAGCACACAGATGGGGTGGGGGTTAGTTCTTGCTAGGTGCAGGTCTTTATAGCATTTCACCAGTCAGGAATAGGCCATAGCAAGTGTGAGAAGATTCAGAGAACTAAGTCCATTCAGGCCCTGGCTCTGAAGTGGTTGCTGGGCAAAACCAGGCCAGTCCTACAGCTCCTAGAGAGACTCTGAGATCAAGAAGGGGCCTCAGGGATCATCCTAGCTGGCTGGCTGTGAAGGACCCATAAGTATCCAACAGCTCCAAGAGTCTTAGTTTGTGAATGTGAATCTGGAAGTTTTTATTTTCACGAGTGCAATTTTTCTAAGAAAAGAGACAGTGCTCTCTGGTGGTAGAAGTGTGGGTTCTGTTCTCAAGATCAGAGGGCCTTCTAGGGAATGGGGAGCCCTTTGGGAGACCTTAAGAGCTAGAAGGGGCCATATAAATAATTTAGCTCAATTCTCCCCTTTCCTCCACCATTTTACAGATGGAAAAAGTGAGGCCCAGAGAGGGAAAGAGCCAGAATTTGAAGCCAGTTGCCTGACTTTCAACCCATTCTGAACCATAATGAAAGTGTGAAGTCAGTGGACACTCCCATTCATCTCTTCCTTGCACCCTTCTCCATGTAGGTAAAACACTCATTTTGGCCTTAGGCACATATATATGTCTGAACACCCCTTGCAAACCAGTTTGCTCTACCCTGATGACTGTGCCCAGGCTTCAGTAGTTTCCAGGGTAGAAATAATATGACAAAGCAATTCATGTGATGGTGATGTCTTACTATCAGATAAATATTCTAAAGAACAGGGGTCTAGCTATCCATGAGGGGATTGGGTCAATGCTTTGCCATCTTTCCTTGTTCATACTAATCCTTGCTATATTCTATCCTTTCATTTCTATTCCCTAATCTAGAGTGGGTCTGCCTGGCTCCGTTCCAGGAAGATAGGGACCCAGGGATAATACAGCCATCCCCCAGGAGATTGACATGAGAATGAGTACTTGACATGTCTTATGAAAGGGGAGTCAGAAGACTAAGTTGGCCCTCCCCAATCTTCCAACCACATACATATGACTATTTCCCCTACTGCTTGTCACAACATCTTAAATTCTACCATTAGAGATGGTTTGATTTGTTTTGTTTTGTTTTGTTTTAGTCCTCAGTATTCACTTCTTGAAAGGCAAACAACTCTTGGAGAGGCAGCACATTAATTGCCACTAATCCATACATAATGGTCAAAGTGACTAGGCCCTGTATGACTTGTCTGGACACAGGATGGGTGCTGGGAATGGGGAGAAGGGAGAGGGGTCCTTAGAGAAGAGGTGTCAAAGACAAACTCCTGGAGACTTCAGTTTTACTTGGGAAGGCTCCCTTGGGCAAGTTCTACTGAGTCATTTCCACCTCTGGGCAGACCCCATGCTTTCCCATCTCCAGAGACCTGTAAGGCCTTCTGACTCTTGGGGCTTCTAGTTCAATATGACCTGAAGAAGAATCCCTTTTGCAGCCTCTTTAATAAGTCACATAGCCATCCCAGCTCTGGCCAAAGATCTCCCAGTGTCAGGGCATATTAAGCCTCAAGAAGCAGCCCACACCAACTTTATCTTCTCATTTTTGGAGAGGTGGGAGGTGGGATCGTGAACATGGGATGCTGAAACAGTGCTGGGCTTGGAGTTAGAGATTTTAGGAATTTGGGGTTAAGTCCCAGCTCCTACATTTACAGCTGTGGGACCCTGGACAAGTCATTTCAGATCCATTTCATCATTTGTAGAACGAAGATAATACCCTACCCCTCAAGACTGGAGAGCACTCAAAGTTGTGTGTATGTTTGTGTGTGTGTGTGTGTGTGTGTGTGTGTGTGTGTGTGTGTACACATGTGATCTGTTATGAACTCTGGATTTGGATTTGAGAGGACCTGGGCTCCTATCCTAGTGCCATGTCTTACTAGATCTGTGACTTTGGCCAAATTACTTCCCTCCTCCAGAACTGTTTCCTCATCTATAAAATCTGATGATCCCTGGGATCCCATCCAACTCAAATCTATGATCCTTAAATCTTCCCCTCTAACTTACCACAACTATTTTCAGTTCTGCTCTTTGGGGCCAAGTAAAAGAAAAGTCAGGGCAGCTAGGTGAAGCTGCAGAGGATAGAGTGCTGGGCCTGGAGTCAGGAGGACCTGAATACAAATCTGACCTCAGACACTTACTAGTTGTGTGACCCTGGGCAAGTCACTTAACCCTGTGTGCCTCAGTTTCCTATCTATAAAGTGAGCTGGAGAAAGAAATGGCAAACCAACCCACCATCTTTGCCAAAAACAAAAACAGACAAACAAACAAAAAAACAAATGAGATCACAAGGAGTAGGATATGACTGGAACAAAGAAAAGTTTAATCCCTCTTCCCAGTGACAGCACTTGAAATGCTTGAAGACAGCAATCATGTTTCCCTTAAGTCTTCTCTTCTGCAGGCTAAATGTCCTCAGTTCTTTCCATTGAAGATTATAGGGCATGTTTTTGAGGCCCTTCACCCATCCTGCTCACCCTTCTCTGCACCATCTACAGCTTGCCCAAAATTAAACACAACGCTCCAGATGTGATCTAGGTAGGGTGGGGGCCAGGTGGACTGTCACTTCTTCTGGACGCCATGCTTCTCAATGCAGCCTAAACTTGGGTTCACTCTCTAACTTTCCTATCATGCTATTGAGTCACTGAGCTCATCCTTTAAGGATGCCCCAAGTCTTTTTCATGGATCACTGTCTAGCTACATCTCCCCCATCCTGAGTGTGTGCAGTTAATTTTTTGAACTCAATTGCAAGACTTAACATTTTTCCCTACCAAAGCATGCTATTGGATTTGGACCATCTTAACCTCTTGACATCTGTTTGTGGGGGGGGGGGACTTGAAGGACCAAGACTCCTCGATCTCTTGCTTAGTTCTCTGGCTGCCATTGACCAGTTGAATAGAAATGCAAGCAGAGGAAGACAGCCAGCACATAGAAGATGACAAGCACTCCACTGGGGGCCATCCACCATCAGAAGCAGGGCCAAAGGAAGTGAAGTCAGCAAAGTCATTTAGCTTGACACCTGCTCAGCAGGTTGAGGATCGGGCACATTGGGGGAAAGGTAAGGGTATAGCAGCAGATGATGCCAATGACAGGAGTGAGAGACTGGGCAAATGAAGCCTTGACTGACCTCAGGCATTCTCCCAGTCGTCCCTACGGTAGAGGTAGGATCCTCATTTCCCAGGCTTATGGGGCCACTAGCCGTTACACCCCACCGCTCAAGAGACACAGGTGAACTGCTTTTGGCTGCACAGGATTTCTCCAAGCACCAGGCACCATGGCACCAAGATGTAGATTCTCCACAATCCTATGGCCTCCAGTCTTATTCCCTTTTAAGGGACAACTCCCCATTCTCAATTCCGAGACTACTGAAATACACGCTCTCCTTTGGGCTGGAGAGGAGAAAGGTGGGGAGCGCCAAACCTAGAATCCAAACCTCTTGGCTCCCAGTCCAGCGTTTACCTCACCAGCCGCTTGTTCCAGCTTTGTAGAGTTAGCAAAGGCCCAGGTCCTACAGGTGAATGAAGAGCTGGAACCAGGCAGACACTGCCTCCAAGAGGCTGCTCCTTAAAGGCAGTGTCTCCTAGGAGCGAGCCGTGACTTTGAATCTGGGTTCAGAGTGATGTTCCTCTAGGGGAGTCACTCAAACTTTCTGAAATGTTACCTTATTCATAAAAAAGGGATTACAATAGTTGCACTACTTTCCTCATAGGTCTAAAGGGAACAGAAGACATAATGTATATATAAAATATATAAAACAATTTGTAAGTCAAGAAGTACAATTTAAATGTCCCCTATTATTGGTTTTAATAGATATTTGTGTCTGATGGCAGCCACTTCTAGGGCAGGTGGGGGAAGGAAGGGGAGGGGGAAGAAAGTCACATGCTAACTTTATTATATATTTAAAAGGAAAAGAAAGTTGTACATAATAGATTTGCAGTTTCATGTGCAATCTTTTTTATTTTTTTTCTTTTTATTAATTCATTTTGATTTATCAACAATCACTTCCATAAGCTTTTGAGTTTTAAATTTTTCTCACCCTCCCTCCCCAAGACAGCACACAATCTGATATAGACTATACATACACATTCCTATTAAATATATTTTCACATTAGTGATGTTATAAGGAAGAATTAGAGCCAATAGGAGGAACCACTGGATAGGGGAAATAAAACACAACAGAAGAAAAAAATAGCAAATAATATGCTTCCATCTGCATTCAGATTCCATAGTTCTTTCTCTGGATCTGGATAGCTTTTTCCATAGTGAGTCTTTTGGAGTTGTCTTAGATCCTTGCATTGCTGAGAAGAGCTGAGTCTATCAAAGTTATTCTTTGCACAGTATGGCTGTTACTGTGTACAGTGTTCTCCTGGTTCTGCTCACTTCACTCAGCATCAGTCCATACAAGTCTTTCCAGGTTTTTCTGAAGTCTGCCTGCTCATCATTTCTTATAGCACAATAGTATTCCATTACATTCATATACCACAACTTGTTCAGCCATTCCCCAATTGATGGGCATCCCCTCAATTTCCAATTCTTTGCCACCACAAAAAGAACTGCTATAAATATTTTTATACATGTGGGTCCTTTTCCCATTTGTATGATCTCTTTGGGATACAGCCCTAGAAGTGCTATTGCTGGATCAAAGGGCATGCACATTTTTTTGGCCCTTTGGGCATGGAACTGTGTTTTTTAAAAGGGAAAAATTTTGAGTAGCAATATTCCAAACTGGTTTCATGTCCTTGAGATTTAGCATTTTTAAATAATATGAACACAGTCTTCCCAACACTAACATAGTGGCAGGCTCATAAGTTACTCAACCACTTCTGGACTGACCATGTCCTTTCTGCCTCTCCTGTCTACATAGCAGCAAGGAACAAACACCAAGTAAGACCAAAAGCCCAGCGGGAATGATTGTGTGGTGGAGCAGGGAGCAGGGCTTTAAAACAACTGGCTTTTCACACCTTTCCAAGTGGTTGAGGTTGCCAATGTTCTTTTCCCAGCCTAGCCCTCCCATGTAAATAAAGGAAATTCTTCCTTATTATAGAAGGAAATTCTAACTTGATTATATATTTAAAAGGAAAAGAAAGTTGTACATAATAGATCTGCAGTTTCATGTGCAATCCTCTTTTAAAAAATTCTGTTTTGTTACAGAGATGCTTGTTTTGTTAAGTTCAGAATAAAAACAAAGTCCTCCTTTATTGTGCACTTATTATTCTACTGAATTGTAAAGCCTAGGCATGGGATTTTAATTAATTTCCCTATCCCTAATAGTGAGTGCTCCGGCATAAGACCCTGTACAAAGCAGGAATCAGCAATGCTTGTTGAATGAATGAATGAATGTAGAGGGAGTGTAGGATAATAGAGAGGTAATTTTGAAACTAGAAAGTCCTGAGTTTAAGTCCCAATGCTGACCTTATTTGAAGCAGCTGGTGAGTGCAATGGATGATGGCGTGCTAGGCTTAGAGTCAGGAAGGCCTGAGTTCAGACTGCTTCAGTCTCTGCTGTTGTGACCCTGGTGAAATCATTGTAAAATGAGTGGGTTGGACGTTCTGGTCTCAGCGGTCCTTTCTGGGACCTTCTGTGTATAATCTATGATCCTGTGACCTGGGGAATGGGGATATGTCTGCTATGGCTATGGGAAGCGTGGTGGATTAGAAGTGTTAGAGGACAGGGAGATAAGATGGGGACTGTCCTGAGACACGAGGTCTGAAACCCTCACTTCCGCAGAGTACAGCAGATGTTCAGTTGTTTGGCCACAGCCTCATCTGCTAGATCGAACAAAAAGCTGAAGAGCAGGAGCCAAGAGGCACAATGGGATTTTCTGGAAGAAAAAATCAGGAAAAGCCTGGAATTTTAGAGCTAGAAGAGACCATAGAGATAATTTGCTCCAACCTGTTTTACAGTTATCAAAACTGAGGACTGGAGAGGGGAAGTGCTTTACCCAAGGTCACATATGACGTATATGGCGAGATCAGCACAGAATGCAGGTTTCCCAACTCTGAACCATGTGCCTGGCATGTGTTAGACCAGGCGATGTGCCCACCCTTGGCCCCTGACCTCAGCCCATGGCCACCTTAGCCCCTGCACCATGCCAATCTGTTGAAGCTGCAGAAGATGGAAGACAATCCCATGACCATGTTGCCCAGGGATAGGATGTTAGCAGCATTCTTCCCAGCAAACCTGGCCAGCAGGTTTCTGCTCTTCGCCTGGTGCTTGAAGTGCTTAATGTAATCAAAGAAACCTAGGATGAAGGAGGAGTCAACATGAAAAGTGTCACCAAGGCCTTGAACCTCTGGACTTTCAGGCCTTCTCACCAGCCTGGGGACTTGTCTTCCTAGAATGAGGAGTCCTTAGAGCAGTAGGTAGCTTCTCTATGGGATCTTCATCTTAAGCCCTCTCTTGTCTTATCAGATGGGTGGTGGGTGAGAGAACTGGGATGGGGCATAGAATAATGGCAGGTGTGGAGATAGAGAATGGGACCAATGTGGGGATAAATCATGGAAGCAGTTGTGGATGGAGAATGAAGTCAGGTGTGAGAATGGAGGCTAGAGGCTGACACACTGGAGATTAGAGGACAGAATTAGAAGGCAGGGCAGAGGATGAAGTAAGAGGAAGACCATGGTTTGTATTTGGTGCAATGTGTATGGGGCACATTGAGTTCAGAGCCCTGTAGGAATCAGAATCAGGAGTTTTTACTCAAATCCTCACTGAGCCCCTTTGGGGGATCCCCCCCATCCTTTGTACTCCTCCCTCCCATGCATATTCACTCCTCAGTGGGAATGAGAGGGCATCATCATCATAATTTTTTAAATACTTCATCTATAAGGCAAGGTTAAAAAAAGTTTTCCTCATAATAATGCTGTTAAGTAGGCAATGCATCATATCCATTTTACAAATGAATAAAATGAGTCTCAGATAGGTTGATTGAACTGCCAAGGGTCACACAGTAAATGTAAGAGCTTGGATTTAAACCGAGGTCTCTAAATGCCAAGTCTTAACCATTCTTTGTTTGCATGACACCACACTGAGCGTGGGGCAGTTCCAAGCTTTAGCCCTGGCACTAAACATAATATTCTCATTCCACCAGGAAATGGAATGCCCATTATAATGACCACAGAGTTGAGCCAGAACAAGGCTGAAGAGAGATTGTATCCCCAGCCAAGCTGAAGACTCCAGGAAGAGTGGAGAGAAGAAAGAAGAAGATAGAATAATGATGGCAAAGTAGACCCTTCCATTTAAAGAGAGAGGTTAAATGACTTCCTCAAGGTCACATAGAAGGAGGTGGACAGTGGTATTGGGGAAGACCTCTCCCGGCTCTTCTAGCCCTTGTTGCCCTTTCTTTGCCCCAAACTCACCAAGGGGCACTATCAGCATCTTTAGCTACTTAGCATTCTGGGGGTTCCTGAGGTCTTCCCCTACCAGGACCCCCAAACCCAAGAGAGACACAGGATCTTTAACAGCTCCAGAAAGGCTGAAGAGCAGTAGGGTGGTCAGAGCCTGCCTGACTGTGACTTCAAACACCTGCGTGCCCTTCTGGTGAGCAGGACATCCCTACACAGGGGCACCAAGGAGTTCTTACCCACGTTGGGGTGCGTGGGCCAGAGATAGATGTCTTATACTCTCCAGTTACTTAGGAGGTATGATTTTGGGGCAAGTTCCTTTCTTGGCCTCAGTTTTCTAATCTATAAAGGGAAGTGGGGGTGAGTAGGAGATCTCCCTAGCAGCTTATAAGGGAGACCCTTGGGAGGGAGCCTGGGGTTTCAGGGGGTTCTGGTGTTTCCAGAGTAGCTATAAACACTGTATGCTCAGACTGCTGCTGCCCAGGCCCTTCTTTCTCTGAGTAATGAACAGAGTATTGGTAGAGAATGATACACAACCTGC